GGGGGAGGGGGGAGGGTTTGGGGTTATATATTATAAATTTTTTTTAAAACTTTTAATAAAAAAGAAAAAAAATATGTTAAAGCAAGGCCTGAGTTTTAAGAAAAGTCAATTAGCAAATGCATCTTTTAATAAGCATGAGAGACTTTTAGCTTTAAATTCAGAAATAATTCCAGTTAGAGATTTACAGGATTGTATTATAAATGTCTTGGCCTGGATTGGGACAATTTCTGTCAAAAGAAGATAAATTTGGTTAATGGTTACAAATATGCTCTACAGATGAGTCTGCTGAAAATAACTTTTCAGAAAGGAATCACAGATTCTATGAAAAATAGCTCTTTAGATAACCAAGCATCCCTAACCAAAAATTATTTAAGGTACAGAAACTATCCATGTGTAAGAGACAGTTTCTTCTGTTGCTGTTACTCAATAAATGTTCACTGATTTCTGTGAATCAGAATCATGCCCAATTAGATGAATCTGCCAATGATTTATTTTTCCCAAATTCTACAGTTAAATTGTAATCATTAATTACAAATCATTGTAATTTTTACAGAATCTAGTGTTGCTTTTAAAATTTCAGAGAGCAAAGTGCATATGAGAAGAAAACTTGACAGAAGTGGGTTTTGTTTGTATTTATTAATTTGTTTTGTTTATAAGATGGTTTTATTTGTATTTAAATGTTGCTTAATAATATATTGTGGCAAAAAGTAATCATTGGCAGATGGAAAGAGTAGAATCAGATTTTACTCTTTTGTTATCTTCAGCATTAAATTTTCCTAACGCAAAAGATTTCAGTAAAAGCTCACAGAGTAATGAATGTATGTTACAGGAGACTCTACCAAAACTATTTTGAAGCACTAACAAAATGAATTCCTTTAAATGAGTTTCTGGGAGTAACATTCACAAAATGAGGTTTTATTCAAAAGGACACAAAAGTCACCCTGTGATGCTCTTAATGTCACCCACTATATTCCCCCATAGAACCAGGCTTAAGTTAAAATTTGTTAAGGTATTAATAATGGCAGTTAATGTCAGATTTGCATTCAGAGAAGAGATCTGAAGTGAGAGGACCGTAACAAAAGGGGGACATTTTTCCTGGAGGAAAATTATTGCAGCCTTCAAATTTGGACCCCCTCCGTCTGCTTTTTAAATTATCATGTTTAATCCAGAATACCCATTTTAAGTAAGCAGTATTATTTTTAGAACTTGAGAAGGGATCAGCAAGTAGCCTATATTTCCTAATATTATATTTAATCATGATACTATTATTTAGTCAACCAGAGTCCTTTCTGAGCTCTTGTGCGCAAGACCTGAGAAACTAGAATACTTAATCCGTATTTAGTAAGTAAAACGTAGTCCTCAAAATTTCTTGCTTCTCAGTTAGCATGCAGCGGCTAAGACATGTTACCTGTTAACACGCTTGTGTCCTGTGAGTACAGACAAAAATGTGGTCAGAGACAATTTAAAAAATGACACCAACCAACCAGCGAATGATTAGACCTAGGACTGAGCTTTATATTGATGTTACACTGGTGGGGAACAAGATAAAATGTGATATCATATATTAGATAACAAGTTTATGCAGACCAGAATGTATATATGCATTTTATGTTGTGTGCGTTGTCTTCCATACTATGTCCAACTAAAAGCAAGAAAAGTTCAAAATCACATCCACATTGTTCTATTAAAAACTCAACACCATTAACTTCCATTCCACCTCAGTTTAATAAACATCAACTCTCAACTTCCCTTCCTCACCATCCAAACTCTAGGTGGATATTGCTAGGGGCAGGGCCTACACAGTTTTCCTGTAAGGCAATCGCCAGCCCTATTGTACCAAGTGGCTATTTTTAGATGCTCGCCTCCAGCATATCTTCTTCCAAACATGCAATTAAGAGAGCATTTACTTGCCAACAAGCTCCTGTGCTTTCATGCAAAGACTGAAATATAGATTGATAAAGAGAAGCAATGGGAAGCTCATTGTATAAAAATAAGCAGCAGTTCACTTATGGACATCATCTTACTTTCATTGCAAACTGTAGCCGGTGTTGGTCATCACAAACTAAATAGAACATAGAATCACATGTTTAAAAATAATCCAAGCAATTCATTGTCAGTTCAATCTTTTTGTTTTATCAAGATTATCCTAAATACAACTGTGTTACATGGAATGTGCAAAAGTCACCAGAGGCCTCAAGAAGCCTGTCAAAGCTCTTGGACCTTAAATAGGAAAACTCCAGTCTGTTAAAACAAGAAGGAAAACTTCTACAACTTAAAATATACTTGAAGTCACATTGTGAGGGTTTTTTTTTTTTAAAGTGAGCACTTGCGAGTAAACTTTTGGGAATCAGGAAACCTAAGAAGCTCCAAGAGAGAGACTGTCAATACTGCAGTGATTCACAATTTCCCTACAAGAAAAGAACCCAGCTAATTATGGCCCCACAGAGCCACAAGGCCCTCTGACAAGCATTCAAGCAAACATTAATTACACGCCAATTAGATTGTCTCTGCAGCATAAGCATGCTTTAAGAATATTAGCATTAAACATTACATTGCTAGATAATATGAAAGCTTGTGAAACAGTGATACCTTATTTTACTACATCTGGGGCATGGAAATGCACTATCCCCAAAACAGTGCTTTTCCACCCTTTCCAGCAATATTGCTGACCCACAACTCAGCAATGATAAAACATGCAGCTGCAATCTAGTGGAAATTTTATTAATCTGGACCTAGCTGAGGTATAGATAATTTTCTTTATCCATGCTTTCACCCAAGCAAAGGTTTACCTGGAATTAAAATAGAATCTCAGGCAATTAATCTTGCAGATTAATTGTTGTAAATGACATTAAACATTTGTTTCTTTTTCTTTTTTTAAAAAAATGACAATCGTATTTTTAAAGTTTTAATTTAACCAAATGGTTAAAACAAGGATTTATCTAATCTCAATTATTAAAGTGCATCAACTAATCCTAATTTTGTGCTTTCTGAAAAATCAAAATGTTGCTTAATTTCTGTTTCAAAAATAACAAAATATATTGTTGCAATGAATTCAAATATTATGTGCCATTATATTTCATGATTTAACAATGAAACCTTAAGGCATTCTTTTTTTGAAGTGAGGTCTGATTAGCTGGGTGAAATAAATATTGCAAAAGAAGTTTTAAACCATGATTAAATGCTTATAAAAGGACAAAGTGAAGAAAAATCTGTGTGTCATGAAACAAATTATTAAATATAGGTTCTATTCTAAACTAATCTTGACCACCTGAAACCCTATAACTTTCCAGAATAGACATGGTTTTACACTGAATTTGAAAGAGCAAGTAGAAAAATTAATGCCACATTAAAAAAAATCCTTATTATTCAAAAGATCCTATAAGGAATGTGAACATAGTTAACATTGAGATTTGGAATCCAAAAACATTTCTGAATAGAGAAGACAACTATATATAAAATTTCTTTCTATAGAATGAAATGAAGATACTAGCAACTAAAACAATATACAGAGACAAGAAATCCAAAATACAAGCAAAAACATGCCAAAAATTAGATCTTCTACCCACTAAGACTAAGTGTTGTAATTTTTAAAGAAAAATGTTTTTTTAAAAAACATTGTCCCCCAGTGTCCAATATTCAAAAAGAATATTCAAAGAAAAGCAGCTGACTGAACTAACCAAAGCCAAAAACAAAAAAGAAAGAAACAGTCAATAATAGAATGGCTTTTTCCATTGAAACAGCAAATGTAAGGGAAAAACAACAAAAACCAGCTTGAAATGAGAACATATATGCATGGATGACTTTATGAAAATAATAAACAAGCAAACTTCCCCTTTATAATAAAAACTGGCATCTAAAAATGCAATTTGTTGTTCAGGGAAAAAATGATAACCTGCTGGTATAAAATAGGTTAAACTTCTTTGACTTTAGTGCAGTGGTTCTCAACCTGTGGGTCGGGACCCCATTTGGGGTCGAACAACCATTTCACGGGGGTCGCCAAACAACGCAATCCACCATTTTTTTCCCCTTTTCCTTAGCTGTGCTACTCCCTTTTATTCTATTGACTTTTGAAAGCCAATAGAATAGACTCTCTTGAATAGAGTCTAATTCTATTGGCTTTCAAAAACCAATAGGAATTGTCCAGGATGTCTCTGCCCTGCTGAGCCCGCCAAAAGTCCCATTCTGCAAATGGTGCTGCACCAGTTGAGTAGTCCTCGACTTACGACCGGTTGAGTAGTCCTTGACTTACGACCGGTTGGGGGGTCGCGGCATTAAAAAGGTTGAGAACCACTGCTTTAGTGTGTCTAAAGAAACATACAAGGTTTTCCTCCGCCATGCTCTGTTTCACAAGCTCTTTTGTAGCACTGACCGGCCTTTGGTGTTACTATGATCCCAAACAAAAATAAGGGAGCAATAAACACATTCTATGCACAGGTTATATAATACACAGATGTGTCAAACCCAGAATGGGGTGAAAAATAGCATGAACAGCAGCATCTCAGGCTGAAAGAGAGGAGTATTTATGTTACCAGTCTAGAGTTTTATCCTGCATATATATATATATATATATATATATATATATATATATATATATATATATATATATATATATATGTCTTTGGTTGTTCGGGTTTTCTCCCACGTAAAATTGGAAGTGTCTTGGCGACAGAAAACAAATATATATATATATATATATATATATATAAATTAACCCCAAATAATTTGGTTTCCCCCAACTGTCATGGCTCACAGATAATTCATGACTTTGGACATCATTTTATTTCCAAAAGATGAGGTTTCAGAGGGCAAATGCACAGTTGTCCTGAGTACATTTTCCCACACGGACCTATTATGAAGGTGATCCTTCCATAATATCAAAACATTAGGATGCAGCTTTCCCTTTGCCCTCTCTTAATATTCAAAAGTTCATTAAGTCCAGCTAATTTGGAGAAGGGTTGTTTAGGAGACCCATCTAAAAACAAATACTTTAATCTCAGTAATTACCTGGGTCAAAATGACCTCCCTTTTATTGAGTACTAACCGATTCTTTTCCCCAGAGACTTAACCCCAAGAATAGAGGCATGGAAACATGTCCTGTTTTTTTGCTCCTTCTAGAGTTGTTAGCAGTTCCAGAAAAGGGGAGAGGGGGCTCATCTTCCACTAGACAAGAGGAACAGCAGGCCAGTCAGACAGTCTGTGTTAAGCAGTGTCTTTAAAAAATGATAATTAAAAAACAGATATGACTATTTAGGTATCCCTCCTCAGGGCTATGTTGATATGAGGAAAAATAACTTTGGAGACAACATTCACTCCCACTATTACTGCTTGGAACCCTTGTGCCATTGCTCTGACATCACAATGATAAAAATACTATGATGAATTCCAACTGGATGAGAAGCAGTATGGGAGGTTAATCCCGATGCCGTGGAAACATGTCAAGGATGAATTCAGCAATGCCGATGAAATAGACAACTTGTGCAATACCAAAGAGTGGGGCAATGACCAAGGCTCTGCAATATGCCCCTTTAAAAAAGGCCAAGGGACCCTCATTACGCCAGATTTTCCTAGAAAAAGACACAAAGAAAAGAGATGAAATCACAGCTGGCTTCAAATATCATGTCAAACCATGGATGGTTTTAATAATGGTTTGCTGAATACATTACATTAGCCCATAAATCATAGCTTACAAACTACACTGTCTGGAGTTGGCAAATATGCAAAGCCAGTATCAAATCAACCACTTTACATGTCAGGTTTACACACCAAATCCTGGGGGGGGGGGCAGAGGAGGAAGTGCATCTCTTAAACATGAGTCCACCTAGGTTTCAGGTCTGACACTAGCCATAAAATGGTGTGGGGGTGGAGATAACAATTGCAATCCAGGAGGTCTTGAAAGCTTTCAGAAGCTCTGCTCTGGAGATAATCAGATATAAAAACCCTTCAAGATGGGCTTTAGAAAGCTGTTGGGCTTCTTGCTGTTGTACTGGACTCCTTGCTTGTAGCAAGAATTCTGTCTGAATTCTATTGCTGAATTAGCCATTCAGTCTCTGTGGCTGCTAGTTCTTGGGGCTTAACTTGCTTGTGAGTGATCTAGAGTATGGGATGGTTAAGGATCACCTTGGTAACCATGGACCTGACCGAAGTCACTGAGGACTCAACAGACAACAAGGATAACACACTAAATCTGGTCTTATCTTGGGCCAGTTGTAATGTGAAGGACATCACCATAAGGTTTTTTTTTTTTTTGCCATAGTTGGATCACTCTATGATTGCTTGCTGAAACTGTAGCAAGTTTTATGCCAACCACTCTAAAGATACTATCCTTCCATTGCTAATCTTCTATTAACTACTCATTAACAACATCCTTCAGACAGAGATAATTTACCTGGTACAGTCTATTATCCCTGAATATGTGTCCTCATTGACTCCTCTCTGCAAGGACTGAAGTCTTGTCTTGATTACTGCAGAAAGATATAATAGTACAGCTCGTTATAATGCCTTAATTTGTGTCGAGTTATTTTTTGCAAGTTTTTCAATTGTTACAGATACTTCTGTTCAATTACTGGACAAGATTTTATCAATTCTCCCTCCCAAAACATATTAATATTTAATCTTGGTCTAGAACATTCCTCTTAGAACTATGTATGAACAGCCCTCAGCAAGCTTTTCTTAAAGAGAGAGAAGAGCCCTTAAGTCATATTCTCTGATTATCTAAGGAATTTCCTTGGGAATCGTACATTATCTGATAATGAGGAATTTGGATAATACACTGTGTGATTGACTTTGGGAGACAGAAGGAGGAGCTGAACCTAGACATCCTCATGTAAACATATCTCAACCCACAGAAAGAAAAGAGGAATGGGGACCATTTCAGAAGGGACCCTCCTGAATTCTCTATAAAGTAAAAATAAAGAGGGGGGAAGTACACTTAGACCCTAACATTAGAGGTTTTCAATGAAAAGAGACATTGACAGCTTTTTGTTCGGAGTTGTTTGTGAACCACAATAAAATACTTTGGAAAATCCCACTGCTGAAGAAAATGAAACTAGGGTTAGGTCGACTTGGAGTAACGGGTGAAAAATATTTATAGGGATATATTCTTAGCAGTTTCCTAAAAAAAAGAGTGGGTAAGTGTCTTTGATGTGTGGGAGCTAATTTTAATTTAAAATGTTCCAAACACATAGGGCTTATTTTAATTATAGCTTTTTAAATGTCTGTTTTACTGTTTTTCTTTTCTTTTGGTTGTTTTCCTCAGCATCCATAGCCAGCAATGCTGATAGATGTTCCTGCCCCTGCACCCCAATGAATGCTATAAAAGTACTTACCATCACAAGGATTGACAGCTACAGCTGCTGTGCTGCCTGCCGCACATCCAGACAGGAAGGAGACATAGAATGGAGCCTTGACTTCAGGGCTCTTCTGCCCCAGTTTGTTCAGGTTGGCAAACAGTGGAAAATAAACAATGGAAAATGGGACATCCCTACAAAAAAAGAGGCACACAAATGAGTGGGATTTCTGAAAACCTGTTTCTGTCTGTCCTGTAATAATATTAGTTGGCCACACACTTGTTCATTATAACTATCTAATGCAGTGGTTCTCAACCTTTTTAATGCCACGACCCCCAATCGATCATAAGTCGAGGACTACTCAACCGGTCGTAAGTCGAGGACTACTCAACTGGTGCAGCACCGTTTGCAGAATGGGACTTTTGGCGGGCTCAGCAGGGCAGAGACAGCCTGGACAATTCCTATTGGCTTTTGAAAGCCAATAGAATTAGACTCTATTCAAGAGAGTCTATTCTATTGGCTTTCAAAAGCCAATAGAATAAAAGGAAGTAGCACAGCTAAGGAAAAGGGGGAAAAAACGGCGGACTGTGTTGTTTGGCGACCCCCGTGAAATGGTCGTTCGACCCAAAATGGGGTCCCGACCCACAGGTTGAGAACCACTGATCTAATGTGTGCATTGAGAAGGTAATTCTGTTTCTCACTTTATACTTGCATTTAGCTCCAAAAAGCTACTCCACAGAGCATCCCTGGCAAGTGTTTGGCCTGCCTGACTGAATGAACACTCAAGTGAAGGTAATGGTGCTCATTCAGATCCACCCCTTTCCAGCCAAGCCCTTTCTTCTCTCCTATAATATTTTCTTGCTTCCAAGCTACATGAAAAGACATCTTCTGAGAAGATTTGTTTCTGGGGATTTTTATTTATTTATTTTGCTTGTAACTAACCAAATCAGCCACAAACAGTAGCGATCCTTAACATAATTTTAGTAATACCTCAGAAATAATAAATACAACACTTCTGAGAGACATACATGATTTCTTTTGAACCCGGGATAGGGCCAAGTGGCTGTGCTCAAAGGCAGGAATTCCCATATATTAGGACCTTTTATTTCAACACACACATGCAACTGAAATGGTTGTGTTGAGTCTGGAGAAAATGCCAACCTAACCAACGTGGCTCCAAGTCCTTTATACAGTCCTGCAATGCCTTTGCTCCGAAGCAAGTCTCTTGTGATCTGGATCGCTGTCATTCGTGTTTCTACCACTGACTCTGCAGCTCCAGTGCCAGCGGATGGGCTGAGCTGAGCTTGTCCTATCATGGACTTCTTCTGAGCAGCTGCAGAGGAACGAAAACAACAAAACCACTTCAGATTCTTCCATTTTACTCTGCGCATGCAGCACAAGTGGAAACCCTGACAGATGGTTAAGCTGTTAAAAAGGTATTCTTCTCTGACCTCGGAATAAATAGAGCACAAGACACAAGAATTTTGCTTGTTCTTATTCAAAGATTACATATCTTTGCTAGGGGTGTGCTCATTTGTAATTTTTTTTATTGGTTAGCTATTACCACAGGGGTGTCAAACTGCCGGCCCGTGAGCTGGACACATCATCCGGAAGCTGCGCCCACCCCATTGCCGGCCATGGCAAAACCATCCCGATATGTTGCGCGACATCACGTGACATCGCAAGTTTGACATGTGTGTATTACCATTATGATGAACCAGGTTTCTGGAAGACCAATATATGTATATGCTAATGTACTGAAAAAATTAGAATCCTTCTATTTATGAAAAAAAAAAATTCTACTGTATATCAAGCTTGGACTGATGTGAAAGAAGAATATCTATTCCTGAGACTTTATATGTTGGTTTAATAAAACTGTCAACATTCAGCCTTTGAATTAACTGGATAATATTATTGTATAGTTAGTCCTCGAATTACAACCACAGTTGTGATCAGAATTTCTGTCGAATCCAATTTTATGACAATCATGCATTGTTAAACAAATCCAGCTTCCCCAGTGGGTATTTTATTGCTGGAAATAGGCAAACCCTCCCCCAAAAATCATGAATATGAGCCAGTTGCCAAATACGTGAATTACAATCAAATGATCATGGGGGTGATGTGACAGTCATAACTGTTAAACAAATGGTTATAAGTCAAGGACTACCTGTATAAGGTCTAGATTTAATTCATTATTTAAAAATTGGATCATGCTTTTAAAATTAAAGAAAGTTATATAATTTTAGTAGCCTGATACATTGTTTTCTTTGATATTCAACTACCCCCCCTATAGTTAGAATTAGATACAATGTAAGTGTAGGTTTTTGGTTTTGTTTTTAGTATTGCTTCACATTTCTTATTTAAATTTTTTCTTTTCCTTTTCAGGCAGTTACCTTTTTTTTTCTTTCCTTAGGTAGTTTAGAATTGCTTCCCCCCCTTTTTGTCACTATATAGCTCTTTGTACAGTTTATAATTCATATTTAGCTCTTTGTATGTATTTTACATAATAACATACAATAGTCCTGCATTCATTAATAATATAGTTATAATTGTTATAGTTAAGATGCTGTTTAGGTTATACACAATATTATAAACTAGCAACTAAAAGATTTTTTTATAAAATAAATGTTAATGTTTTTGAAGTGTATTAAAATCATATTTAATAATAATAAATAAGACTTCTGGGAAATCAACAGCAAACTGAAGACAATACTACAAAAAGTGGAGCCAACAACCACAGTAGAATGAAGAGTTGGCTATCTCTGTGATAATTCCTCTCAGGACAAGGAGAGGACTTGAGATTGCCCACAAGTGCTCCAGACAGTTGCTCCTCACAAGGAGACTGCAAGCCAGTAGTCTCTTGCAGATTTAGAATTGTAGGAGGTGAGGAAATAGACCTCTTGCACAAACTATAATCCATGCCTTTAAAAGGGCACTGGGGTCATATAATTCCTTTTCTAATCACTTCTGAAATTTGTTTGTTAACTGCTTCAGGAAAAACAGAACCTTTTAAAAAACTTTTGTATTGACAAACCTTATGATCTTGCCAGACCAGAAAATTACACTTAATCTCAATCTTAATGATGTAAAAGTTTTACTTTTTTCCCTCTGAATTTCGGCTGAGGGCACATATCAAGGACAGCCATTTTAATTTACATTTAAGATCTACACCCTCTGCTTTTCCCCATTAACTACTCCCTTTGTAATCCTCCTGTTTTTTGCCATAGTTTTTTCATGTAGTTTTTTGCTACATGAAGTCCTACCAAAGCTAGTGCATAGAGTTAAAATAGTTTCTAAGCAACTAAGATACTTATGTCAACTTTTGTGCTACAGTGACAATTTTCTGCAAAAAGAAAATAACAAAAAGAACCTGCATTAGCTTATTTGAATTGAAAAAATGCAGAGATGGGGAAAAAGAGGCAAATAAAAGTATAAAAACTGCTCATCCATAGCACTCTAGCTTGACATAATGTCTACATTAGACTGTGGTTTTAGGAAATGAACAGTGAAGCTAGCTCAGCTCCAGCAAGAGCAGCCATTCTTCATTCAGCTCTATGTCCCACACTAGCATCACTTCAGAAGGAGGTGGAAGTGGCTGCCAGAAGCACTATGGACTGCTGATTTGGGGACCTACAACCAACACTTGGAAGGTGTCCATTTGGAGATGTCCCGTTCCTGAATCATTAAAATTAACATTTAATATAGTAGTTAAGTGAAGTATGTCACACCATTTCAGAGCACACGCATTCATCCTTTTCCTGCTCTACACATAGATTGAGTACCGGATTTTGTTTTGAAGTAGATCAGTCCACCAAAAAAGAAAAGTTGTGGGTTTGTTTGTGTGTCTGTGTGAAGAACAGTGGCACATAAAATTTGTCTAAGGCAAAACTAATACACCTGTAGGGCTCAGGAAGGCAACTGTACAAGTGGGGGAAAGAGAGAAAGTTGAATAAAAGCATCAAGAGTGACAAATTCTCTTCCTTGCATGAGTTCTCCAGTTTAATAATTTACCACCACAAGAAAGCTATTCTTTTTCTTTTCTCCACTATTTAAATACTTAAAGATCCAGTTTCATTAAAAAGGGGTCTTATAAATGAGGTATATCTGGACAAAAAGAGAAAAGACTTCTCCATAAAAAAAGGGAAGGGACTGTTGTTATCACAGCTCTAATCTGTCAGACTCTAAATTTATTCCTAAACTTTATTATTGAATTCGGCTATTAAAAATTGAGCTATTTAAGAGACCTTTTGATTTTTAATATAATCATCCATTTCTTATATTTATTGCTGTTTGTAAGCTGTTTGTATCTTTATTTTAATGATTTTAATCTTTGGGAGGATATTTATGTAGATTTGTAATTATACCATGGATATTTTAACAACATTGTGATTGTAACCTGCTGAGATTTTTATCAACTGCTATGGGTGAAAAAAAAGAGTAACAATAACTCAATATTCCCAATCTGGCATCCTGTCATTGTTTTACAAGGCCGTCCTGTTATCTCCATAGTCCTGACCATTTTCAGGACATGGTAGAAATTTTAGTCTAAATCTATGCCTAAGATGGATGATTTGCTAAGAAGCTGCATCTTTCTCTTTGTAAAATCTTAAGTTAGGATAGCTTGCCTCAAGTCCCTCTACCCATGAAGCAGCTTACTCTTAGCTTTCTCCCCTTAATAAGGAACCATTGGATGCATTTTCTGTTATTACATGAGCACTATAAGGAGAGAGAGAGAGAGAGAGAGAGAGAGAGAGAGAGAGAGAGAGAGAGAGAGAGAGAGAGGGAGAGAGAGAGAGAGAGAGATAAGTTACCAATTCGGCCTGCATCTTGCAGCTGGATTTTGAGCATCTCCATGGGAGTGGTGACAATCACCTGGCAGGTCCCCGCCCCACAACCAGCCAGCATCTCTTTTGGCAGCGTCAACTTGCTCCTGGCAAAAATACAGGGAAGAAAGAAACAAGCACAAAAGAAAATCAATCCAACCACCTGCTTGATTTCAAGCAGCAGCAACAATAAACCAGCCAGTTTTGTTCTTTCAGTCAAATGGCAGTTTTGGTTGCTAAGGAATCAAATGACAAACAAACTGTAGGGAATGGGAGACATCAAACCTGTCCAGTTTGGGTCTTCTTGATCATGAATGCAATGGCATATAAAATCTGAAGATGACTAGCTCAATGACACGCCACTGCAGCACAATTTTGAAAAACCAAAGTTGTTTTTTTTAATGAACAAAGACAGCACTCAGAAGAATGCAAATATATACTGTTCTTGCTTTTTTCAAAGACAATTTCTATGTTGTTATTTTAAAACAAAAACTACAGACAGATTTATCCAAGCACACTCTTTGGCAAAATACTGGAAACATAAACTAATAAACCACAAACACTGGAGGAAATGAAAGAATTCTGGGGGAACTAATTATGTTAATCTGTAAAGCTAGATGTCTCTCTAAGAGGCTGACAAGAATTCTGTTTTGGAAATAAAGCCACCACAGTGCTAGGCAGTAAATCTCTCCCTTACAGTATTTTGGCTTTGCAGAAGTGTAATGCAAATCGTAATACTGCATACAGCTGTCATCACCTGACACCGTTGCAATCAAAATGTAATAGGAGACTGTAGCCACAGGAGTATCATCACCATCAGAGCAAAGGAAGATAGCAAGAAAGGAATTTGGTTTTCTTAGTCAGGCAACACTTTGAGAAAGAAGTAACTTTCAAGGAGGGCAATATAACAAGGATGAATAAGAGAAGCAACTGAATCATGAGTCTTCCCTTTAACCCTGAGGCATATTGGCTTTAGGTATTATTAGCCCTTTCCATCAAACTACAATCTGTTGCTGTAAAAGTTTGTAATCTCAAAAGCCTCATAGGTAACTCCAGAGTGCCTATAACCTTTGCCACCATATTGTATGATTTTCATGGGAGAAAATGAAAATTATTAAATACATGGGGATTAATTGAATTAAATACTGAACTGTTTGTTTTCCACTACTGGCTGCAAACAAGTAGGAAGTTCCACATACTTTTGATAACTTAGCATAATATAAGACAAGTGACCAAGTCTAAAACTCTTAGCCTGTAATACTAGGCAAAAGCAGAGAACTTCACAGTGTTGGGAATAGAAGAGGTTGAATTCCCATCACACTCATCAAGAGATTATCTTCAAAGCCAGAATTAAAAGAATATGCTACCTGATTAAAAAAATAAAACCCTCCCAACAGTCATGCCTATGGTAGAACTCAAGACTTTCTGTTTTCTTCTTTTCAACATACTATTTAACTCCATGATCTGAAACATTTTAGTATGTTTATAGGGTGTTTTTTTAAAGGGGCTTTTGACTAGGCATCCATGACCAACGACCAGCCTAATCAGAAAGAATGATCTGAAACAATGCTTTTAATATGTACTTTTGCATTTTTAATATATCTGTTACTGTACATGATGGAAAAAATGAGAGGAGATCATTAAATCACTTTAGTTACACCGAATAAAGAGGATCAGGAAAAAATAGTTTAGGTAAAGAGATCCAGAGTGGAACCCTCTTTCTGAATGCACAGGCTGGCCTATTTCTGGCACTAAGGTTAATTTGTCACTTCTCAGAGAATTCGGAGCAGCCAAAGATCTTGGCCACCAGCCAGAGATGGAAATGAGGTGGTACATTGCCCAGTTAGGTCTTCAAAGTCAACACCACATAGCTGAAGCTTAGCATCTGTGATCCATCAAAAACCTCCCTCTGTGGGAAGCCTGGAGTAGCATAACATTCATCCCCTTACCTACAGTAGAGGGACTGCCACTGCTTCAAGTTTCCTCTCCGGCTCAGAAAAATAGCTTCAGGCAACCACATGCAGCCAGCTCCTCAGTCTGCATGATTGCTGCTTAGGTGCGGAGTTCTCTAATCTGAGGAGATTATAGTTGTAAGGCCACAGCAGAGATGATCAAATCACTAAATATAGATTTCTCCTTTGAGAATATAGGAAGGAATTTTCACTGCACACAAGTGTCACATTGGTATAAGAGGAAAACAGAGAGTTGGAAACATCCTTTTGAATCCATTAAAGCAATCCATTCCCTCTTTGAATAGAATCTGGCAGGAAATCAAGTTCTCTAAAGGACTAGTTTTCTGTATTAGTTTTTTTCCTCACAAAATAGTCCTCGACTTGTAGTCCTCACAAAATAGTCCTCGACACGTAACAGTTCCCTTAGTGACCGTTTGAAGTTACAATGGCACTGAAAAAAGTGATTTATGACCATTTTTCACACTTATGGCCATTGCAGCATCCCCATAGTCTGGTGATTTACATTTGGATGTTTGGACAACTGACTCACATTTATGACAGATATCCTGGGGATATCTGATCATCTTTTGCAAACTTCTGACCAGGAAAGTCAATGGGGAAGCCAGATTCACTTAATAACCATGTTACTAATTTAACAACTGCAGTGATTCACTTAACAAATGGGGCAAGAAAAGTCATAAAATGGGGCAAAACTCACTTTAAAAATTTCTCACTTAGCAACATAAATTTTGGGTTCAACTGGTTATAATTTGAGGATTACCTGTAACTCTTAACTCCCTCACAGGTTTAGATTTTCTTTTGAATATCTGTTGAATATTATTTTTGTGTGCTCAAAAACTGAGAAGTGAGCACTAGATACTTTAAAAATGCCTTTGCCTCTTTTTAAGATGAGCTACAATATTTTAAGAATTGGAGCTAGTTTGTCACTTGCCTCCAAAACTTTTCCTCAAATTTTTCACTGAAACACGACTGAAATAATCTTACTTTCTGGATCAGGATGGGCAGAAACTGGGTCATAGCCTGTTTGTGATATTTATTTTTGGTAAAATGTTGAGCTTCTCCTGATTCATGAAAGGCTACTTTGAAAAAACTCTCCACACGTGTTGGAAAAGCAATTCCCAGCATTTCTAATTAGCAAGGCTGAAATCATTATGGAAGCTGCAGTCTGGTGAATAATGCTTTGAAAAATGCTGTTCTAAAGAATGCTGGATAAGTAAAAATTATCTAATCTTTTACAGTATAATCATTTATAAACCACGTTTCTACTCACAGTTTCTCAGAAATGAATCATCATTAATCAGCAATCCTTTAAATAAGCTTTTACAATTTAGAGGTCTTGGGTAAGTAAGTAAACTGAAAACCCATGGTAAAAGCTTTTTAAAAAGAGCTCATACTATATTTAGCAAAAAAAAAAAAAAAAAAAACCAAGAACTCGTGAACATAATTATAGTTGCACTAAAAATAAACAAATTAAATATTCAGTACTAATTGAAACAATTGAATTGAAACAATTTCCCAAGAATATTATAAAGTTAGAAAAGAATTATATTTCTCATAACTAAAGCTAGCATACCAGGGGTCCCCAACTTGTGGGCTGCAGCCCACTATCAAGCTGTGATCTCTTGGCCACTGGGCCACATGAATGGCCGGCCAGTGAGTGCACCCCCCCCCACACTCACGCTAGCCCTGTCCTGAGTGTTGCGCAGGGGCTAGGCCCGCTCCCAGCATTGCACGGATGCTCGCACTGGCCCCATGTCACGCAGGACCTAGCCCCGCCCCACCCCCATTTGCATCCCATACACACACGCGGCCCCATGCTTCCCTCTTCCTTTCCCTCTGGGCTGCCAACCTAGAAAGATTGGGGACCTCTGTTCTAAGCTGTTAAAGTGATGAGTAAGGAAAAGGTTGCAGAGGGCATCAGGTTGATCTTCAGAATTCCCTATGCCAATCTATGCATCTGTGTCAGTCCTTTGAGCTACCGTATTTTCCAGCGTATAAGACGACTTTCTAAACCCTGAAAATTTTCTCAAAAGTCGGGGGTCGTCTTATACGCAGGAATATACGGGTAGCTGTTCTCTGAATTTAAAACCAATCTGCCCCCTAATGGCCGGCCCTATTTTTTTTTTTTTTTTTTTTGCAGAAATAAGCACTAACAGGACAAAGCTTTCTAGCAGCAAAGGAATGGAACTCCTATTGTGCTCATCTATAAACAGAAATTCAATATTGTACTGTATTTTCTGGCGTATAAAACGACTTTCTAAACCCTGAAAATCTTTTCAAAAGTTGGGGGTCGTCTTATACACCCAGTCGCCTTATACGCCGGAATATACGGTAATCCAGACAAAAAGCATCAACCAATACCTTTACTGTAGTATTACATAGTGGAATTTTGCCTGTATGAAAGTACCTGTCCCCTCCCTTACTTTTACACTCTCCAAAACCAGGGAGGGTCCCTTCTGAGATACTTTGTCTACCTCCACTCCTGTATTGAACTGAGATTTCATTTATCAGACCATCCCCATTGACTTCATTTGTCAGAAGGCCGTAAAGGGAGCTCACATGACCCCTGGACACTGCAACCGTCTTAAGTATGAATGAGTGGCCAAGCAAGTGTCTGAATTTTGATCACGTGATTATGGGGATGCTGCAATGGTTGTAAGTGTGAAAAATGGTCATAAGCCACTTTTTTCACTGCCACTGTAGCTTCGAACAGTCACTAAATGAACTGTTGTAAGTCGAGGACTACCTGTGTACCATTTCCTATCACCCCATTCCACTGGACTGTCATCCCTTTAGCAGAATTAACCTAAGCTGCTTTTACAACCTAGTAAAATGGACTTTGAATATGGGGGTGGGGCAGCAGCGGCCCCAGTTAGGTTTTTGAAAACATGGGTACTTCAGTTGTTACAATGCTGTAGTGGGATTGAAATATGTGAACTACTGGTTCCCTTTGTGGATGCCGCTTCCGGAAGTCCATTCTGGGCCTGGGCAACAAAAAATTAGCTACCGGTTCTGCCGAAGTGGTGCGAACTGGCTGAATCCCACCACTGTTACAATGTGGCTAGCCAATCAAAGAACCTCTCTTTACCAGAAAGTGAATTGATGAAGATACACTTCCAGGATGCTATGCCATA